GCCTGGGTTGGTAGAGCTGGTGCTCCCACAGCTCCCTGCCCACCCCCATCAGTCTTTCTGTTTCTCGGAGAGAGAGGCGCTGGGTTGCTGTTTAAAGAAAAGGAGTTAAATCAGGCAAGCTGTGTGGCAGTGATTTCTCTCCCTGCTGTGTCTCAGTCCACCTCCCCCAAAGTGAGAGGGTACGTTTGTGAGGGGCTGTGGCACAGATGCTCTGAGTGTGGAGGGTGGGAACCAGAGGAGTCCTGGACAGAGATGAGGGCCCCCTGCTCTTGGGATTTGCGGGCACCCTCTCTGGGGCATCCATGCTTGACACACAGTTCAACGGGGCCCACAGAGAGGAGCAGCCGGAGAGGGAGACCAAAGAAGGGGACTCTGGGGAACAGAGGGGTCATCTCCAATGTTTGGAGGGTTACATTTGAGCCCTTTCTCTCTGGCTTTAGGGATGGGCCAGGACTTCACGGATCTCCCTGGGAGGCCGCTGTGGGTCCACAGCCAGGGCTGCCCAGGGCAGGAGGGGCCAGCCCTGCCCGGCAGAATTCCGATGGCAGTGGAGGCCAGAGGCTGGACTCCCACCGGGCAGGGATGCTGCAGGGAGATCTCCCGCTGGCTGGAGGTGCAAACCAGTGACCTCTGGCATCCTTTGGGCCCCGGGGTCCTTGGCCCACCTTGAGAAACCAGCATGGAGCTTGGTCACAAAGTGATCATTAGATAAAGTGATCTTGACAAAGTCAGTTGCACAGAGAAGCAGGGATCTCTGGCCCTAATTGCACAAGTTGGGGGCATATGGGTCCAATGGTTGCCCAGGGGCTCAACCTAAGCACCGAGGGCACTGCCTGCACCCGCACCCTTTGAGCCAAGGGTCCTGCCTCATGGGCACCAGAGGGAGCTAGGGGGCTTCCTGTTGATGAGCCCGGGCTGGCCACTGTCTTTGGATTCTCCTCAGTTTGTTCCCTAGTAGCAAATCCTGGAAGTCCTAAGTCTCAAGAGGCTTGAGTCAAAACACACCTCTTACAGGCTTCTGAAGCAGCCTCTGCCTTTTCCTGAGTGTCGGAAACGGAGCTCCAGGTACCAAGGGTCAGCCGCCCCCCACCCCACCCCCACCCGAGGACACAGTGGCTGAGATGGAAACAGAAGCCCAGGGAAACTTCTTACTTCCAGTCAAGTTCTTTAATCCCCTGGCTCTGCACAAAGGGGCCGGCGTGGCCCCGTCGGGAGGTGGCTGGCGGCCCAGAGGGCCGTTCTGCCGTCTGCAGGAGCCAGGCAGGAACCGGGCAGCTGGCGGCCTTCCGTCGCACTGCAAGCACCAAGGGAGGCCTGCTCAGAAAACCTCGTTTCCTGTTCCTGCTCACGCGAGTTTCAGAAAGATGTTTCAGACTCTCGGGCTTTCCTCTCCTCCCTTCCTTCCTTGCACACTCACATCAGAAAAGACCCAGGTTTACTGTCTGGAATTCAGATCTCCTGTTTTGTTTTGTTTTTTTAACTTACAGCACATAAAACTCAGCCCTCTGGGGTCTCTTTGGCAGGTGCCGCCCCAGCCCAGGGCTTTTCCTTTTGATGCGGTGCCAGGTTACACTCAGGTCCCTGACCTGCGGGACCTTTGGCCTGTGATTTACTAGAGTGGACATGGGGTGGCAGGATGACTCCATGGGGGTTGGGGCCCCTTGGCTCACCACCCGTGGGGACTGTCCAGCCCTGGCATCCGCAGCGCACTCCCCTGAGGTCCCCAGGAGACTATTGAAGGCCCGCCTGAGGCAGCAGGGCCCAGGAGAGCTGTGTTACTGCCTGGAGAGATGGCCCAGGGGACTGGGATCCCTTGGGTCTGGGCCCAGCTCGTGTTGCTCTCAGTGGCCTCTTGCAGACCACTCCCCGACCCTGATCTGCAGCTTCTCCTGTATAATGGGAGCGCTTGGACTTCTTTAAACTCTTAGGAAAGATGTACAAGGCCCAAGGGTTCAGGGCAGGTGGGGAAACCAGGACAGCAGAGAAGTGTAGCCCCCAGTCATCATGGTCCTGGACCAATCCAGGTGGGCTGTGGGGACAATCACGCCCAAAGGGGCAGGAAGAGCTGCCCAGACTGAGCCGATCTGAATCGAGGTGGAAAAGTGTGCCGGCCAGGTCCCTAACCTGAGGGGGTGGGGAGGGCAGTGCCTGAGATTCACTAGGGGAGAGGCAGAGGGAGGGGATGGCTCCCACCCAGTGCCCTTCCATACTCTACCTGGTGACCCTTAACCTCTGACCTCACAGGGGGTTGAATTTGTCCCCCTCTGAGACCTTTCTCGGGGACCCTGTTTGTAAGTGGAGTGCTCACTGGTCCCAGGTAGGCCATGTACATCTCCTCAGCAGCCTCGGAGGCAGTACTTCCTGCCTCATAGGGAAACTGAGGCAGAGTCAGATATCCCCACAACTACTGGTAGGGGACAGGGCCGGGCTGTGGGCCAGACTCTCCCCCTCCTTTGCTCATCATCCCACACAGTCAGTGTCCCCTTCAGGCTTCTTCATTTTTGGCCCAGTCCAGGGTGGTAGCATGGAGAACATTCTCCAGATGGCTAAGAAATGGAATTGGCAGGACCTCGAGGGAGTGAGGGGCCAAAGGAGCTCTCACACACACACACACACACCCCCAGCTCCTGGGTGCAAGGGCAGCTGGAGAGTGACCACTGTCACCACGCCACCTAGGGGTGGTGGGCGGAGCTGCCATATCCCTCTCAGGGTGGCCTTGTTCCTACCAGGGGCTCTGGGAGGGGGAAGGGAGCAAGAGAAGGAACCACACTGAACAGAGATGAAAGGCCTTGTCTCTAAGGGCTGGCAGCCTGAGTGCCCCGGGTCGCTCAGGGTTGGCAGCTGCGACCCTGCTGGGTTTGCATCTTGGGAGACCTGGCTCCCTCTGACTGCCCCCTCCAGCCCCTCCAGCCCGCAAGGACAAGCGCCGTTCACGCACTCCAGACTGGCCAGGCTGCAGGGGGTGCCGACTTGGCCCCTCTGAGGCTGTTGAAAAGAAAATGACCCTCTCTGTCCCCTGGGAGCCTGACAGACGTGCAGAAGCCAGGGCCCCAGGGCCGGCTGGGTCTCAAATAAAAAGAAAAATGCTCACCTGGATACTACCTGAAATGACCTTGTTGTGCCTACAGTGTGACAAACACAGGGCAAGTTAAGGGGAAAGCCTGGCTTTTAGGACGAGCCCCGGCTCCCCTGCACCCGGGTGTGTGACTTGGGCAGGTCACCTCAGCTCCAAGAGCGCGGTGCCCGCACCTTCAGGGGTGGGCAAGCCCCAGGAGGGAGGTCGTCCAGGCATCCAGGTACGGGGTCTGGCAGCACAGATGAGGGTAGAAAGCCAGCACCAGAGAAGTAAACTGACATTCCCAAGGTCACAAGCCAGGCTAGTGGCCCAGCCAAGAGTGGCTGAGATTCCCAAGGCCGGTCCTTCCGGCTGGTTTTCTGACCCCTTTACCTGGAGCCTGTGTGGAAACTTCCCTCCTACTGCCACCTGTGGTCACTGTGCAGCGGAATCCAGGAGGCCAGGAAAGGACAGGTTACTTGTGTCTAGGGACAGGAATCAGGTGTGTTAAAGCCACCATTCTCAGGCATGGTTATATGTAGCTAATTAACTCTAAGGTCTCAAAGTTTGTGAGTGACCGTAAACATTTTTAAAAAGGCATGAATTAGAGCAGATCCAAGGTTAACACTCTCAGTTGCTTCCCACCTTGCTCTCTCGAGCAGGAGAGAGAGGGATGGGGCTGTAGCAGCTAAGAGTGAAGGTACCCTCACTCTGCAGACAAAGTCACGGAACCAGGCCCTCAGTGACCAGGGCGAATATAATCATTGCACTGGCCAACATTCATTGAGCTTCTGCTCTTTGGTGGTGCTGTGCTAAGCCCTTTAACACTTTCTGCAACCTCACACAGTGGATACTATTATTATATGATTCCATTTTCCAGATAAGTATAATGAGGCACAGAGAAGTTAAGGGATATGTACAAGGTCACACAGCGGCAGAGATCAGGACACATACAGAATAGTGGGCCTTAATGCTCTGCCAGATTTCTGTTGCTTTTGCCAAATTCATGGGGATGGTTGTGAGGGTGCCAACAGATGTCAGAGGCCCAAGGGTGGCCTGTTAGCTCCCACAGTTCTGCTGCCTTGAAACACAAACCACTCCCCTAATGTAGAGAGCTGGGAGGTGGGGCGCCAGCCCTTTCAGCCTGCAAGTCTGCAGGCCTGTTTTTTGGAGGTCATTACAGGCTGCAAGAAGGATCCAAAAGGTGGAAGGGGCAGGCCCCACACTGAACTGCCACCCTCGGGAACTTTTCCTGTCCTCTGTGTGCAAAGGGGCCGTGTGGGTGGTGCCATCTGAGTTGAGGCATCCTTGGTCCCTGGCCCAGCCCTCAGCCCTA